CTTCTAAGCATATCGATTTGATGGAGGTCGAGTGACGCAAAGTATGGGTCACCTATATACATTTGTGGATGTCAACTGATGCAATGCCATGTCAACGAATATGGAATTCAGCTTATTCGTAGGGTAGCATAGTTAAATTTGTCTGCCTTGAATCCGTGTAAATAGGTAAAATATTAATGAGCTGGATCTGGTGACACACAGAAATCTATTTAAGTATAGCCCCATTCAACTAATGAATAGGAGGATTCCTGAGGTTCAGGCATATTATTAGGTATGGTGCCTTACGGATAGGTTGAGTTCCACATAAGTAGACGTTGTATTGCATCGGTAGACATCCAATTTGCGTGAAATGGATATTAATGTACCCTGTGTGCTTCTCAAGATTTTTTGCAATCAGTTAGTAGAATGAATGCCAACTTAAACTGATTTCAGCCTACATGCAGGTCTCAGCTGTCAATATTGCACCTGTTTACATGGATACGTCTAAGCATATGGAGTTATCGGAGGTCAAGGAAAACAGACCATGGCGCACTTATATCGACTTCTTGCTATGCTATTGTCAAGTGATGTAATGCCTATCCGTAGGGTAGCATACCTATGAATATGTCTGCTTGTCTGGATTTCAGGCAATTTGCGGCTTACTTATGATCAAGTTATTCATTCTCCATGTTGCATTTTTTGTAAGGAATTATGCTTGCGCACACCGCAACACATTTGCTGTCAGTATGCATACGCGTGGAGCGTGAATACGGCAGCAACAAAGCCGCGCGATAGTGAATATGGCTGTTTCTGCGGACGCAAATCATTACGTCAGGTAGGGATAGGACTCAATACCTTGCAGTGTGATAGCTGCTCGAGTAATTAAGTCTCATTCACAAAGCATTAAGTTGTGTACACACAATTTTGTGCCTCCACACTCATTCTGCAATTGGATATAGTATCGACCTCCACGCAGCATCCTGACCATTTGATGCACGTGCTTGTGGTCTACGCTCTGGCCTCGCACTACCAGCCAGACCATTCGCGGTCGTTGCAGCACGCTGGCTGCGTGGGAAGGAAAGCGGCGAATGGAAAGTGCTACAGCTGCCTCACCATGTGGAGGCCGTAGTGTATCTTTTCTCTCTTTGGATGGGATTCAGACATGGAGGCGTTCAGTCTTAATCCCTCAGATGGTAGCCTCGCACCATTGGCTGATCGACCAGGCATATGCACCAATTATCTGAACCTGCAATTCCTCTCGTGCTGAACAAGATTACCATAGCAGCGACCTGCTTACACTTCACTCATCACACGCACTGTGCCCATCAGTAGGGTAAAACTAACCTCTCTCACGACCATCTAAACCCAGCTCACGTTCCCTATTAGTGGGTGAACAAGACAATGATAGGAAGAGCCTACATCAAAGGATCAAAAGTCGGCGTAGCTATGAACACTTGGCCGCCACAAACCAGTTATCCCTGTGGTAACTTTTCTGAAAACTCTTGCGTCAAACTTGGAATGTGGTGGAATTATCAAAAGGATCGATAGGCCACACTTTCACGGTGTGTATTCGTACTGAAAACCAAAATCAAGTGAGCTCGTGCACTTCTACTCCATGCTAGGTTTCTGTCCTGGCTGAGCTCATCTTGGGACACCTGCGTTACGATTTGACAGATGTACCGCCCCAGTCAAACACCCCGCCTGATAATGTCTTTAGATCGGGTCGCACGTCGCACACACACTCCGACTGATAACACCACTGCCCACCACCCACATGCCCACCGCAACAGCAGCGGCAGGAGCAGCAGCAGACAATGGCCAGCCAGCTGCGACCGAGGATGTCGACAAGTGAGCTCGATCCCACACGTCAGCATGTGCTTCAATGCCAATCCAACTGCTTTATACACATTGCTTATTCGATGGGAGAGGTCTTTCATTGCCATCCCCAGCACGCACGCACGCACGCGCCGCCACAAGAATGTATGCAGCAGCACACACTGAGCCTACACTTATTGCTACACCCACCAAATCTCTTCACAAAGTCGGACTAGAGTCAAGCTGAACAGGGTCTTCTTTCCCCACTGATTCTGCCAAGCCTGCTCCCTTGGC